TCGACCTACCCACGAACTGAAAAAACAACTATAGAATTAAATAAATTTTATACAAACACGCTACAAATGATTGGAGCGATTTTTGCTTTAATTATTTATAGGAAAAAGTTTATATAGGGATGCAACATTTGTAATGTAGCACTACGGATGCACCTCAAAAATCCATTGGAAAATGTAGTTTTAATGTTGAAAAACCCTTTGATTGATCATCTCAACTTCGAGATGTATGACCATGAAAAATAAAAAGATTTTAAGTCTCAGAAATAGTGTATTTTGCAACATATTATCTACACCGTCTATTTTCAAGATTTTCATATGTTTATAGTTCTACTTGATTTTAACCATTTTTTAAATTTAAAATTTTATAATTAGAAATAAAAATAGATTTCAAGATAATCCAAAAAACATTTTACATCAAAATTATATACCATGATAAAATTTGAAGGTGCACCTTACTTCTACCGGATGCATCCGTATGCCAACTGCACCCTTTATTTATTGCTATTATTTATATATATGCTTTATTGGTGTGCCCTACTATGCTTAATTTATTTATTGCTATTATTTATATATATGCTTTAATGGTGTGCCTGACTACTACGGATGCATCCGTGTGCCAACTGCATCTTTTCTTTATTGCTATTATTTATATATATGCTTTATTGGTGTGCCCGACTATGCTTAATTTATTTATTGCTATTATTTATATATACGCTTTATTGGTGTGCCCGACTAGAAGCAAGGTTTAAAAATTTGCCGCCCAAATCGAGAATCTGCTGGACGGTCTCAAATCTGGCCTAAAACCGATTTAACTTTGCAATCGGCGTGCACAGTGAATCAACCGATCTTGACCTTTATGAAAATTTTAAAGTTGTTTAAAACTACTTTTAAATTAGGCAGGGTAAAGCTTTCACGTGGACAATGCCATCTCCTTTAAACGCTCATTTTTTTTTGGCTTTTCTTTTCTTCGGTGCGGGACAATCCTAGAGATTCTGAATCTTCCAATGAACGACGGATCTTTTATCTCCGTCTAATAAAGGATCTAGTGGAGGACGGCCTTCAACCGAGTCGTGGCAACCGAGGGTAATGATGGAGCTCCCGTTTTACCTCACCCTAACATTTTAGCCATCTCTCTTTTGAAGCCTTTTTTTTTGGGCGGATCTCTCTATAGCATTCTCGCCATACCTGTCTCTCTTATTGAACTGATCTCTGTCTAGTACTCTACCCATCTTTTGCTTCTCCTTCTCTCTCTACCGTGATTTTGTATTTCAGTAAAGCGTAACTCACTAGAAATATGGGAAGGTATTCAAAGATATTTATAGATGATCAAGAAAATGTTCATTTAAGATCACGAAATTTTGGACGCATCGAAAGAAATTTGTAGACGATCAACAAAATGTTCATTAAGATAGAAATTTAAGAATAATTCGATTGTAAATAACATTTCATTATCTTGTACCATATGACAGCTGAAACTACACATTAATATGTAATGATTGTATATAGTAACCACTCTTACGTGTGTACATTTAATATTCACCTATTTTTATAAAATAATG